CCCCTGCGGGAAGCCCCCGGGGTGTCCAGCCACTGTGCCAGTGGCTGGGTGCTGCCAGCACCTTCTCGGTTTGGTGATGACCGCCTTGCCTGAGGTCTGAGCTCTGCCCGTCTCTCTCCTCCAGGGTGCTGAGCTCTCAGCTGGTGATGCTCTGCAAGCTGCACCCTGCGCTCATCGTGGAACTGTCCAAGGAGATTCTGGAGTTCTCAGGAACAGTCAGCAACATCCAGAACAAGGAGGCCATCTTCACCCACGTGGTAAGCAGGGCCTGCTTGCTTCTGGTTGCTCCAACTGCAGTATGATCTGTTGGTCACCTTCCCTTTCCTCCTCTCCTCTGTCCTAGCATTAGCTAATCTGATTTGCCATTCCCTAAAAATTATTCGATCCCCTTTCCTTCTGCTTACCCTGAGCACATCTGCCTTCGCTTCAGGTCTGGGCTATTGGAGAGTACATGTCTGTGTCCTATGACAAGCGCTGCACTGTGGAGCAGATCAACCGATTCTTTGAGACTCTAGAGGCCATGCTATTCGAAATCACCCAGCTCCGACCACTGGCTAGCACCCCCAGCTACGCACCCCGTGCCATCAGTGTCCTTATGGCCACCTTGACCAAGCTGGCAGCTCGCAGCCAGGACTTGATCCCCAGGTGAGGAGGGATGGCAGGGAAGGGCAAAAGGCTGAAACATGCAGATCTGGTGGGTCCAAACAGATGTTAGCTAGTGTTAAATAATCAAGCTTGGTAACTGATGGAACCTGAAACTGAAACAGGACAGAGGAAGCACGCTGTGGAGGAGCACAGTTTGGGGAAGTGGGATTCATCTGCTGACGAGCACTCTGTGCATCAGGAGGAGGGGGTGGGTAGCATCTGGTGTTCAGCTACAACAGAGCCTTTTGGAGTACACAGGCTTAAATAGTGACCTTGGTAGATGCAGAGGTCCTGCCAGCTGATAGCCATGTCCTTCTCTCTTGCAGGGTGTCCATGTTCCTGTCCAAGATGAGGACATTTGTGCAGAGCCCTGCTGTCACCTCTGTTTACTGCGAGGAGGACCTTGAGGAGATCCTTATCCGGGCAACTGAGCTCATGAACCTACTGAAAATGCCAAGCGTGGCTCAGTTTGTGTTCACACCACCTGTAGACGTGGCCAGTACACGGTTTCAGAGAGAGGTGAATGACTCCCTCCCTTTTGCCCTGAGGATAGTCACCCGTCTCCTAGAGCCGGCTCCTGGCTTCATGCCAGCATGAGGACATGAGGTTTCTGAGAGGCTCCAGCCTTTTTTGCAATTCATTGGACTCTGCTGATGCCCTGCTCTGAACTGGAGATGAGGAACAAATGATGGTGAATGAAACAGAAAACGGGAATAAGTAGAGCTGAGGCAGCTCTTCTGGTCTGAGGCTGTTTGTGTTTGTGTCTCCTAGCGCCTGTTGCTTTTCTATCTCCTAAGCTTGTCTTATCTGTCCCTGGCCAGTATGGATTGAAAATCCCAGTGGATTTCTGCACATGTGGCCTGAGGGTGAGTGCATGCATTAATATGCTGCCAGCACATGATGCCCCTTTGGAGACGCACCTCTTCTTCCCTCCCCTCCTCTGACTTGTTTATCCCTCCCCTTCGCCCTCGCTCTGCCCTGGCTATGCATGTTCTTCTTTCATTGCCTCTCTGCTTGCAGCAGATCAGCCAAGCAAAGGCCTGCACGAGGTGGAGAAAGCAGAAGTGACTCCATTAAGTCTGCTGCGAGCCCTCACTGCTCTTCTGTCTTACTATCAGAGTGAACATGTTGAGATCCACGAGACAGCTACCAGACAGGAGCTTAGAGAGATTTATTGATCCAGTTTATTGTTGACACCAAGAGGATTTCTTAACATACATCAGCCCCCTGTCAAACAGGCGCCATGCTGTGTTCTGTATCTGCATGAGAAGTTTATACACATTCAAGCTGTACAATATTAACAAATGGGGGAAGTAAATACATCCCACTGCTCCTCCCAGGAGAAGCAAGCCCTCATGCACACTAGTAAATAGCCAGATTTATTTACAGTCTATTTCAATATGTGACTGCACTGTGAGCAACATACAACTCTGGGGCTGTTTCCCACCTCCAGGGGTGCCTGGAGAGTCAGGCTCAGTGGGGAGCAGAGGGTTGTGTTGGTACCGCTGGAGCTTGCCAGGGTGCAGCCCCAGTACTGTCTAGTGCAAACCAAGGCTTCCCTGAGCCTTGGCTCCCAGGCAGAGCGGAGTAAGGAGTGCATGCAGTTTGCCCAGGGGCTCTAGGCAGCCCATTTCCTGCCCTACAAACCTGCTGAGCTCCGGGGAGGATGACAGGCCAAGGTACCTACTTGATTCAAAGTCTAATGAATCACCAGGAGCCCTGTGGGGCCCTGAGCCTTTGCTCGCCTGCCCGGTACAGCTGAGTCAGTGGCAGGAGGGATGCATTGCTCCCAGTCCCTGCTGGGGCAGCACCCCAGGCCAGTTGGCGTGAGCATGGTCTAGCAGAGAAGCAAGGCACTAGTGTCTCAGTGAAGGTCTGTCTTGCCCTAGAAAAGGCAGGCCAGGCTGCATTGAAATCCAGTAGTGGAGTGTTTCCCCTGTGCAGATTGTTCTGACATCTCTCTCCTTCTGCAAAGCGCAAGATGAAGCACAGAAACCAAAACTACAGCAGTGAAGTATCTGAGGTTTAATTAAGGCCAACCCTGTTAAGCATCCCTTTTTTAGCATCACAGTTCTTGGAGAACTCTTGTTGTGAGATGCCATGTGAATCTGATTTGCTGCCAGAGCCTAGACCATGGTGGTTTAAGTGCAGGGTGTGATGTAGGGCTTTGCGGCAGGCTGTTTTAATAGGGTTTGGCTAAACTAGGTCTCGGTATCTGTCTACATGTGGAAATCGGGTTGCATTTATCCCGTTAATGTTGCTAAAGCAGAGAGAGGACTTGGCAGGCAGGAGGCCGGGTGTGCCGGGGACCAGCCAGCCACACGGTGGAGCTGCCACCTCAGCTCTGCTGACACCGTTCTGGTTGGCAGCAAATAGCAGAGCTGTTTCTGGGTCATTCAAGACTGACCTTCCAAAGCGAGCCTTTGCTGCCCGTCATCACCCGTCGGCATGTCAGCAGCGTGCGCTTCTGAGATGCTCTGAGCTGGGCAGGAAATAGGGTGGCATTATAATGGCCTGGCAAGGCTGGAGGGAGAGGACTAGGACATGGTGCCACAATGTTGTTTGTCTGCCTGGGCTAGTGTCAGCCACACCTGGGGTCTGGCACCTCACGCTGCCGGGCTCGCTCAGGTTCCTGGTGGCACAAACCCACCGTTCCCAGCTCACAGGCACAGAAGCACTAAGCTGGCTGTAGCCCCTTGGAGAAGACAACAACTCCTGCGTGGGGGAATTCTCTGCTGTGAATGCCCTGTGCTGCTGGGTCAGTCCTGGGGGCCTTCTGCCAGGATCACGGTGCCAGAGCCGGGCAATAAATCTGCATGAGCAAGGGCGAGAGAGTCCTTTTCTTCAGGGGGCTCCCCCCAGGACTCACAGGGAACTGCTGGTGCTGTCAGCCCTTTGCTGTAGCTGCTTCCCATCCCAAAGCAGGGGCGGGGGTGACGTGATTATAGCCCAGCAGCAGAAAGACACCTGACTTAGGGTATGGCACCGGGCAACTTAACTCCTAGCAATGCATCCTGCTTGGAATCCCGCTCCTGGGTGCTTGCGCTGCCTTTACCACCCCTTTTCCAGCCTGATGTGCCAGCACCTCAGGTGGCCACTGCTATAGCGACGCCCAGGCCTGCCCTACATACTAACCTTTAAATCCCAAAGGTGTTTCAAGCCTTCTGCCTGCCAGCGTGAGAGATCACGCAGAGCTGCCAGCCTAGAGGAACGGAGAAGCCTGCCTACGGCCCCCATGGGGGGAGCATCCCCTTCCTGTCCCCTGCCAGAGGGGATCAAGGAACAGGAAAGCTCCTGAGAAGGATGACACAGGGTATAAGGTGAGGCCAGGCAACTGATCAGGAATGATGCTCCCAGCCTGTGCAGTGGGAGAAGCATGCACCACCCTTGCATGTCCTTTCATCTGCTGCAGCACAGGGGCAAGGTGTTGAAAAGTAAATCAAGGGCAGCTGTGGAGTCCTGGTCCTCCCTCTTGCACTCCAGGCTCCCTGAGGGCAGCCTTAACCAGAGCTGCACTTGCAGGCTGCTGCAGAAGGACCCTTGTACCACAAGAACTAGGAGGAAGAGGAGCTGGAACTGATTTTTTTGGCTATTTCCATGTCCGACTTGGCAACCAGAAACCGCAGCTTCTTCCCTCCGGAGCGGATGAGGTCCACCGCACTGCAGAGAGTGGCAACAGGGAGAGAGGTGAATTCTGGCTCCCCACAGGCTGGCAGCCTCCCCAGGAGCCTGCCAGGTCATGGACATTTGCAGAACACCCCCCCCCCCCCCATTTGCAGAACACCCCCCACACTCTGTTTTGTTCCTGCTCGATGTTACAAGCAGGATCTCTTTCTCTTCTGCCTGTAGCTTTAGGGGGAGCCTGGCCTCCGTGCAAGTGCTGCCAGGACAAAGGCAAATGAGCCCTGAGCTGCTCTGCCCCGTGGGCACCGGGGCTCTGCCTCGGACAGCCAGGCAGGGTGCGAGCTGCTCCATCCCACTTTGAGAGGAAGCCTGGGGTGGGATGGGCTGGAGCAGCTCTGCATTGCTGAGACTCACCTCTGGGGCTCTCATTTATTTCCCAAATGTGCTCTCCAGCTTTTGCTCCCCAATCTCTCTTCCAAACCTCCAACCCAGCTGCCTTCCCCCCTTTCCAGTGTCCTGCACAAGTCGCTCCTCTCTCTGTGGCTTGCCCGTACCACAGCATCCTCTGTGTTGTTGGCTGGGACCGTTGCACCAGGCAGTCGGAGATCCTGTGCAGCTCTTTGCTGCAAACCAGCTGAAAACCTGGACTTGAGCGTTAACTCCCATGGTGCCAATACCAGACCGGGCCCTCCGGCGAGGTGCGACTCACCTTTGGTAGTCTGCCCCGATGAGACTGGTGCCATTGACAGCCAGGATGCGGTCCCCGATGGAGAGCCTGCCGTCGGCGGCTGCGGGGCTGTCCTCGATCAGGGTGCGGATGTAGATCCCCGGGGAGCAGAGAGGAGTGTGCTGTTGGCAGGGAAAGGTGGTGAGTGACCAGCCAGGGCAGAGGGGACACAAAAGGCTTGTGGTCCCAAAGGGCTGAGCTCCCCAGGCAGGGTGACAGCTCACAGCCAAGTGAGTGCCTGGTGCCAGGCAGGACCCTGGAGGTGCTGGGGAACATGATGGACGGATGCCGGAGACGGTGTCGTTAGCCGTAACAGGAAGGAAACATGAGCCTTCAGTTTTATATCAATTTATACAGAGAAAGGAGAGGTGGGGGCAATCTTCTTGTTCAGTTTAATTAAGAGTAAAGCATTGTTAACCTGCAGCCATCTTGGGATGGGAGCTCTTTGCTCACGGCTGTCCCAGGGGCTTGGTGATGCCCTGTTTCCTACTGACTAATGCACGGCCCTGAAAGGCCACTTAGTAAGATGATCCACTGCACTACGCCAGATTGCAATGCTGCCTTATGCAACGAGTGCCATGCTCTGACACCCCATGAGCCTCCCTGCTCCCCCTCCACTTCCCTTGCCATCCGCTGAAGGGTGGAGGAAAGACCTCAGCTGAGTCATTTTCCTTCCACAAGAGTGCTGAGCCTTTTGGTCTCTCCAGCTGCAGGCCAGTTGTGATGGACTTTGTACGCATGGCACAGAGACCTCCCGAGAGATCACTCTCTGCCTCATTTTCCCCAGGAGAAGCAGCCTAGCTCCCATGCGAAGCCATTAGCATCTTTGCTGGCTTTTCCTGGGGTATAAAACATGTCTCACATGTCCCACTCCAGCTATTTGGAGGGGCATCAGCCCTGTCCCGCGATCAGTGAGAACTTACCAAGCCATCAATCAGCCCCATCCCCAGCCCGATGGGTCCTCTCTCCAGCTCCACCACAAAGACATAGCAGAAGTCATCGGTGGCAGAACTGCAGCTGGAAGACTCTGGCGTGGGGTAGTCATAGGGGGTTGGCGAGCATCCTGGCAGCGGAAAGACCGACTTACCGCTCTGGCATTGCCCAAACCCAACCTCACAACCTCCCACAGAAAGCTGCCCCCCAAAACCCCATCAAAGCCAACCTCGGGTAGCCCCAGGGCTGGTTTTCTGCTAGGGCAGGAGCTGGATGAGATGCTTCATTTGCTCTCACCTGCCTTGTCCAAGCACTGACAAGTCCACACAGGAACCATGTGTACGGGGAGGGCTGTGGGGGAGAACGGCAGCAAACACCCTCGTGCCCCAATCCTCCACCCCCAAAGCAGGGCAGCGCCAACTTTCGGTACCTTCAGGGGTGCTGCCTTTGGTGCCATTCATCCCGTTCCTCCGGGGGTCCTGCAGCCCCTTGCCAGTGCTCTGCGGGGACTCTGGGCTCCCGGAGTCGAAGTTCAGAGGGGTGGTGGGTGGTGTCAGCAGGCAGGAGGGGTCTGTGGGTGCCATGCCAGCTTTGGGGGCCGGACCCCTGCCCAGCTGCAGCTGCTTGAGCTTCTCCTGGAGCTGCGGCTCGCCGGCAGGGTGCTCGCAGGGGCAGCCGTTGGTGGCCAGGCAGAGCGGGGGGCTCCCCTCCGGCTCGGCGCAGCCCCCCAGGGAGCAGTAGTCCTCCTGGGTGATGGTGCTTCCCGGCGCAGCAGCTGGGCTCTCACTCACCTCCAGGACATCTGGCTTTGTGCATGCCTCTTTCTTAAGAACAAGAAAAATGCTTTGTGGGATCCCCTGCATGTGCTTTTCACACCCTACCTGCACCCCACCACCCTGCCTGCTTTGCAGGCAGGACAGCTGCTGACTCCAGCCAAAGCCTTGGCAATTTGAACACCACCAGGGCTTGTCCTGGCTTCCCAGCACAGGTCCCACACCCCAGTTTTGTGACCAGGGCCATGCTGGGGATGCTCACAGCCAGCCAGGAGGGAACTCCTGGTTATGTCCCTGCTGGGGGATCTCATTGGAGGGGGACACAGGGGGAGCACGGCCCCTCCTGTGGCCCCAGAGCTGGGTGATGTGGCCCCAGGGTGATGGGAAGAGGTGGCGGTGCCTGCGGGTGCTGCAGTCAAGGGGCCCAGGGAGGGAGAGGAGGAGAAGGGGACCTGCTGGAGGGACATCCTCCCCAGGGAGCTGGAGACAAATGGCAGTTTAGCTTAGCACCCGTAGCACGTCTCGCCCTCCCTGTGCTTTATAGGCATTAGCTAATTAGTGCTTCTGTGCAAGCCTGCCTGGCTATGTGGGGACAGGCAGGGTGCAGGGCAGGGAGGACGGAGGAACACTGCAGGGAGAAGGGGAGCGCTGCCTACAGACATCCCCCCTTCCTCCCTCCTCCCCACTAACGAGATTGCTGGGACGAGCCTGTCCTTCCAGCTCACCTTCCCGCACCCCCCAGGCTGGGGGATTAGCAGCACTAATCCTTCCAGCAACTCTATATGAGGGCATTGCCACAGCTCCAGGCTGCAGGTGAGGGCAGCAAGCCCTTGGCACTGGGCTCGGCAGGGTCTCCAGAGGGACCCAAGATCCTCCTGCCCACCCAGGAGAGGAACAGCCCCTCCGTGGGGTACAGGCTACCTTTGGGAGTGCTGAGCCTGGCCCCTCGCTGGTGTGGGGGCTCTTGCTCTGCAGGCTCCAGAGGAAGTGGCGGATGTAAAGGAGGTGCCGGTAGATGTTGTCGTCCAACGTCTCCACTTCCAGGTCCACTTTGAAGCCCCCGCTGGGCAGGATGATGGGTGGGTGGTTGTCAAAGGACTCTAGCACCTCATCTGAAAGGTGGAGGGAGGAAGGCTAGCACTGGCCTGGGCTGCACCCCGCTCCGGCCTCCCGGCTCTCGTCCACATGCGGTCTCCCAGCTGGGACTGGGGACACGGTGAGCTGCGAGGCAGCAGCATCGCTCACTTCAGAATGCAGAAAGAGCCCCAAGTCCTTCTGTGTGCGCTTTGCATCCTTTGCAATGTCTGAACTGCAGGGCTGTGGTTATTCCTGATCACTGCAGTTACTACAGGACCCCCAGCGAGGGGAAGGGAACCGCCTGTTTGGTTTGTACATAAAAATCTTGGAGGGAGCCTGCGGGTGACCGGAGCACAGTGACCGGAGCAGCACTGAGCGCAAAGCCAGGGGCTCACCAGGCTGGAAGGTGGCTGGGCTCTCCTCCTCGCCGGGCTGCCACGCTGCGATGCAGCCCACATCCATCACCGCCTGGCACTGGCTCAGCACCCGGTAGAGCTGCGCGGGGCTCAGCGCCGGGAACTCAGCTCGCAGGGACGGCCAGGTCATCTGAGCAAGGAGACAGAGCGTGGGGCAAACAGTAGAGGTGAGGAGCTGCTTTCTCTGAGGAGCAGGGGCTCACAAGGGGGGATGGGAGGGAGAGGCTGGGCAAGATGGAGTGAGCCTGAGCATCCCCTCCTCGGTACTGCCCACCCACAGACCCACCACCCCGGGAAGGGGCAGCTGGTGACAGGTTGCAGAAGAAGGGACATATCACGCAGGGACCCCCAGACGCCGAGCAGGGTCTCTCCTGCCCCTGCCCATCCCAACGCCGCAAACCCCCAACCGGGCACCCCTCACCTGGACCAGCTGGGAGCCAGGCATGGCTAGCAGGTTGGCCACACTGGCAAGTTTGGCAAAGAACTGCTGGGCGAGCTGCTCGAAGCCAGCGCCGCGCAGCCACTCCAGGAGCAGCCGCACACTGGCCCGCAGCTTCACCCCCTGCGACCAGTGGAAGCAGCCAAGAGAGGAGCCTGCGGAGGCAGAGCATCCATCAGCACGTGTCGGGGAACAGCCCCCCATCCTTCATCCAGAGCCGAGCCCAGCCCCTGCCCCAGGAGTAGAGCTGCCCCAGGGCAGCAAAATAAATCCAGGTTAACATCCCCAGCATCCTGTAGCTGTAACTCCTGGTGGTGGCTGAACCTCGCCTGGCACTAACAGCAGGCAATGGGGCTGCTGTGTCAATGAGGGCTAACGAGCACCTCAGTTACAAAGCAGGCTGCAGTAGTTTATTAATGAGCTGCCCCTCCAAACTGCTCTCAGCCTCCTCTGCTAAGGCTCAAAAGGGCAGTGCTCTCGCAGGGGGTGAGGATGGGGCATACATGGGGTTAAAACCCTCCTGGGAATGGGGACTCTGGAAACAGCAGCTGGGTCTGTGCTTGGCCTCCCCATACCAGTGCTGAGCCCTGCCCATCTCCAGCCCCCTCAAGCTGCCTGAAGCCCCCTCCCTTCTGTACCCCCGAGGTGGCACTGGGAAGGACTGGAGGGTCTCCCAATGGGCTGGTTCCCTACAGGTTACCCAGTCCAGGCTGGGTGTTCAAGGAGGACTGACCCTTATCCAGGAGCTGGTTGAAGAGCAGCGTGTTGGAGAAGAAGAAGAGGTAGGCGAACATCTGGGAGGTGATCTCCGGGTGCACTTCATACTGGCGGAGCAGGTCTAGCACCGCCTGGTAGATGAGCACGACCTTGTGGAGCTCCTTGGGCAGCGGCAGGGATGCCTGCCAGCTCTCCCGGCACTCGTTTTGGAAGGGGTTGCACTCTAGCAGGGCAGGGAGCGACACGTACAGACACTGCAGGGAGAGCAGCAAGTTCACAGCAGGACTGATTTGGTTTCTTTTTTTTTTTTTTTTTCATGAGCCAAACCCTTCTGACCCCCCCCC